ATGTCAGAGGTTTTGAGGTCACTCTGGATGGAAGGCAGAGCCACATCGGCCTCCACCTTGGGCGCCTTCACCTCCATGGACGTGTCCAAGGTCTTGCTGGGGGTAGACACACTGAAGGACGGCATCTTGAACTTGGGCCTTTTGAACTTGCTGTCTCTGGTGGCCACTTCCTTGTCTTCCAGGGTCAGATCCCCCTCCAGCTTGGCACTGGGGGCCTGTATGTCCACCTGCCCAGAGGGCAGCTCCATGTCCAGGTCGGGGGCACTTGCCTCAACCTTGGGGCCTTTCACGTCCAGCTTGGGGCCCTTGATGTCCACCTGGGGGCCCTTGAGGTCCACCTTGGGCATCTTGATGCTGGGCATCTGCACCTTGGGCAGGTGTCCCTTCAGGCTGGCTCCAGCAGGAGGAGCTGGTGGCTGCTGTCCCTCAGGCAGGGTGGTCTTGGGGAGGGTCACGTCCCCCTGGCTGTCCCCAGCATCGAGGTTGGCTGTAGGCAACTGGATGCCGAGTTCAGAGGTTTTGAGGTCACCCTGGATGGAGGGCAGGGCCACATCGGCCTCTACCTCGGGTGCGTTCACCTCCAGGGATGTCTCCAACATCTTGCCCGGGACAGACACACCAAAGGACGGCATCTTGAACTTGGGCATTTCGAACTTACTGTCTTTAATGGCCTTTTCCTTGTCTGCCAGGGCCAGGTCCCCCTCCAGCTTGGCACTGTGGGCCTGTATGTCCACCTGCACTGATGGCTGTTCCACATCCATGACAGGGGTGCTCACTTCACCCTTGGTGCCTTTCACCTCCAGCTTGGGGCCCTTGATGTCCACCTGGGGGCCCTTGAGGTCCACCTTGGGCATCTTGATGCTGGGCATCTGCATCTTGGGCAGGTGCCCCTTCAGCTTGGCTCCAGCAGAAGGGGATGCCGGAATCTCTCCCTCGGACAGGGTGGCTTCGGGGAGGGTCACGTCCACCTTACCAGTCCCAGTCTCCAGGCCAGTGGCGGGCAGCTGGATGCTGAGGTCAGAGGCTTTGAGGTCACCCTGGATGGAGGGCAAGGCTATGTGGGCCTCCTCCTTGGGCCCTTTCACCTCCATGGACGTGTCCAAGGTCTTGCCAGGGGCAGAGATGCCAAAAGATGGCATCTTGAACTTGGGCCTTTTGAACTTGCTGTCTCTGGTGGCCACTTCCTTGTCTGCCAGGGCCAGGTCCCCCTCCAGCTTGGCACTGGGGGCCTGTATGTCTACCTGCCCAGAGGGCAGCTCCATGTCTAGGTCGGGGCCACTCACCTCACCCCTAGAGCCTTTCACGTCCAGCTTGGGGTCCTTGATATCTACCTGGGGGCCCTTGATGTCAACCTTGGGCATCTTGATTCTGGGCATCTGCACCTTGGGCTGGTGCCCCTTTAGGCCGGATTTAGTGTCAGGTGCCACTGGCAGCTCTCCCTCAGGCAGGGGGACCTCATGGAGAGTCATGTACACTTGACCATCCCGAGTGTCCAGGTCAGCAGTGGGCAGCTGGATGATGAGGTCAGAGCTCGTGAGGTCACCCTGTATGGACGGCAAGGCCACATCATCCTCCACCTTGGGCGCCTTCACCTCCACAGACGCGTCCAAACCCTTTCCTAGGGCGGACACGCCTAAGGAGGGCATCTTGAACTTGGGCATTTTGAACTTGCTGTCTTTGGTGGTCACGTCCTTGTCTGCCAGGGCCAGGTCCCCATCCAGCTTCTCACCAGGAACCTGTATGTCCACCTGCAGTGATGGCTGTTCCACGTCCCGGTCAGGGGCACTCACCCTGCCCTTGATGCCTTTCACGTCCAGCTTGGGGCCCTTTATGTCCACCTGGGGGCCCTTGAGGTCCACCTTGGGCATCTTGATGCTGGGCATCTGCCCTTTGGGCAGGTGTCCCTTCAGGCTGGCCCCAGCAGGAGGGGCCACCGGCAGCTCTGCCTTGGGCAGGGTGGCCTTGGGTTGGGTCAAGTCCACCTGTCCAGTCCCAGCCTCTAGGTCAGCAGTGGGCATCTGGATGCTGAGTTCAGAGGTTTTGAGGTCACTCTGGATGGAAGGCAGGGACACATCGGCCTCTGCCTTGGTCCCTTTCACCTCCATGGACGTGTCCAAGGTCTTGCTGTGGGTAGACACACCGAAGGACGGCATCTTGAACTTGGGCATTTTGAACTTGTTGTCTTTGATGTCCACTTCCTTGTCTTCTGGGGCCAGGTCCCCCTCCAGCTTGGCACTAGGGGCCTGTATGTCCACCTGTCCAGAGGGCAGCTCCATGTCCAGGTCGGGGGCACTCACCTCAACCTTGGGGCCTTTCACCTCCAGCTTGGGGCCCTTGATGTCCACCTGGGGGCCCTTGAGGTCCACTTTGGGCATCTTGATGCTGGGCATCTGCCCCTTGACCACTTGCACCTTCAGACTGGCTCCATCAGCAGGGGCCACCGGCAGCTCTTCCTTAGGCAAGGTGGCCTCAGGGAGGGTCACGTCCACCTGGCCAGCCCTGTCCCGCATTTCGGCGGGGGGCAGCTGGATGCTAATGTCAGAGGTTTTGAGGACACCCTGGATGGAGGGCAGCGCCACATCGACCTCCACCTTGGGTGCCTTCACCTCCACGGACGTGTCCAATGTCTTTCCGGGGGCAGAGATGCCGAGGGACGGCATCTTGAACTTGGGCATTTTGAACTTGCTGTCTCTGGTGGCCA